CCCCCCCCGGTACCCCCCCCCCCCCCACACACACACACCACACTGACCGAGGGCGATGATGACGTCGCCCGAGGCCCCGTCGCGGGAGCCCCCCCTCCTCCTCCTCCCCCCTTGCTGCTGCTTCCCCCAGCACCCGGCCCTGGGGCCCCTGGCGCTGACGCCGCTGCTGCCTGGTGCCGCTGTCCGGTAGTGGGGGGGGAGATGGGGGTGGTGGTGGCTGGAGGTGTCGGTGATTTCCCCCGCAGCTGGGCCTCCACCCTGGCAAGTGCCTCGATACCTGGCGTGGAGGACGAGACGGAAAGGGGGAGGAGGGGGAGGGGGAAGGGGGAAAGGACGAGGGGAATAGAAGAAGAAGAAGAAGACACGGGTTTGCGTGGTGCGGCACAGAACGGCATGCCACGGCGTGACGCAATACCAAGAAGCTCGCGATCTCCTCATCAGCTCTATTTGCTTCTAGCTGCCGCACATGAACGCATTAATAAACGCATTAGCAAGCAATCCATATCGGGGTTTGCGAGCTCCGAGCCGTGCAAGACAGCCGGACGGATCAGACGCAGATCTCCCCCAGGTGATGACAACGCCAGCAGTCAGTGGAAAGAGGCTGTGGTCGTCTGGGTAGCGCACAAGCTTCCCCCCTCCTCATGTACGGCATTCGCAGTACAGCCTGCCCGTACATGCCCGTACCTGCAGCACTACCTCCCCATGTCGGTTGATGGCGGCTGCCAGGTCATCCGGCTCCTCCAGGCCGCCTCCCAGGAGCGCATCGGGGTGGATCGAGGCGACACGCAGCCGCTCCGAATCCAACTCGGGTTCCTGAAACCACGGGTTCACCACGAGGGGAGTGAGGAGGGGGGAAGGTGTGTGTGTGAGCGGGGTGACGGGAGTGAGCGGGGGGGGGTAAAAGGGGAAGAGAGCTGACGGACCGCAAAGGCCGCAAGTTGCAAACAAATCGCAAAAACGGCCAAGATGCGACGGATGCCAAGATGCCTTGTCGCCGTACAAGCAGATCTAGCCAGGGTGGGAGGCCGGGAGGAGCGGATAACGCCCGCTAGCGCGGCAATGCGAGTCGACCGCACAGGGCACGGGAGGGAGGAAAGAAATGTCGGGAGTCAGTGGTACTTCTCCGGTGGGGATCTGGACCAGCTGAAATTTATTATCTAGCTAGAGTTACAGAGCTGATTCATCAGTTCGTTTCACCACCAACCTCCCCACCATCCCACGCCGCCACCTAAGAAGGTAGGCGGTACAACCTCCGCATACACAGACCCTCCCAAATCATTATATAGATATATAGATTTATTCCCGAGTACATACATACATACGCACGCACCAGGTACACAAGCTCACATACATACATACGCACCAGGTACACAAGCTCACCCGTGTCGCCGCATGCGCCAGTCCGAAGCCCTGGTACTTCTCCCCCTCGGAGGCGGTCAGGTCCAGGGAGGGGTCCACTCGCTGCCGGTGGGCGGAGGCGGCGCCAGGACGGGCGGCCGCCTCCGCAGCCACGGCCACCGCGGCCTCGCGGAAGATGTCACCGCCCGCGTCGTCAACAACCGACGCGGCGGCGGCGGCGGGGTTGAGGCCCTCCGCGCGGGCCTTACGTTTGCTCTATGGTGGGTGTACGACAGAATCCAGATCCGGAATATCAGGAATAATAGGGCAACATAATGATGTGCAGGAAAACGCATTCATTCGAAAGGTTTGGAATGCGGAAAATTGGAAACCAAATGTTTTTATGGGTGCGTGGTTTCCTTTCCCAGTACGATGCAACCACCACAACCAACTACAGCCGATAACAAAAAGTGACACGCCGACCCCAAACCTCTCCACTGATGGACTGACAGACAGCAAAGGCAGCTAGGCTTAGGAAGGAGACTAAACGATTTGGGGCCCCCACTGCCGCTACAGCTGCTACAGCCGCCCCGCGGACCTTTTCTTGCTTCATGCACATATGATCCCCCCCCCTCCACCCCTCCACCCTTCTCCCCCTCTGGTCAGTTCTGCTTCTTGTACACTCTTTCCTTGGCAGCAGCTTCACACTCGTTCACGTGGTTCGTCTTTCCCCCTCCCACCCCACCTCCTTGTGCATCTCATGTCGTACATATCGCCTCCAAAAGTCCTCTTCACTCATGCGATGCGGCACGTGGTCCCGATATGCCCGGAGTACGGCAGGCTGCTCGGCGAAGATCTGGGCCACCTGCAAGTGCGTTGGGAGGGGGAGGGGGAGGGGGGAGGGGGAGGTACTGAGAAATGGGTGGAGTGGAGGGGTGGAGTGGAAGGGTGGAGTGGAGGGGGGCGAGGCAGGTCACCCGGGTAAGCGGGACCCGACGTATGTACGGAATCCTTGTGAAGCGTTACGAAGCACGGACCTGGCTTGAGCGCCCGCAGGTACGTGAGCGGGGGTTAGCGAAACACTACCAAGGGGGAGCCCTAAACACTTAAGTAAAGTCCGATGCTGATTCTTTCCAGCCACCCTCCCCCCTGTCCCCCCAATCCCTCCTGTCCTCCGGTCCCCCTTCACCTCCCTTGCCCCCGGCTGCAACCTGTTCGGGTGTGAGACTGACTCTCAACACTCGTTGATGCCGGCCATCCACCTCGGCCTGGAAGGGGGGTGAGGGGTGAGGGGAGGGTTGCGGGACGGGGCAGTACGGCGTCCAGGAGGGTGGGAATCCTATGCGGCCGTACGGAGTCGAGGATGGGAGGGGAGTGCCAGAGAGCGTCAGAGCCCTCCGCGTGGGTGGGTGGGTGGGTGATCATGTGCGGCAAGGAAACACGGAATGAACCGCCGGTGTCCCACTCCCCGGGGGCCGGGACAGGGCGCGGACACGACAGGAGAAGAGAGAACACGGGGGCGGTTAGGGCCAACGGAAAAAACGAAACAGGTACCCCAAGTCCCAGTCCCAGGCTGCAGAGCGGTCTTCGAGGGTATTTCCAGAGATTCCACTCTTCACAAAGTCAGGTCATGCTCGTACGGCATGCAGTACTTGGCGGACAACGAGCTTCCAACCCCGACTAAGTCCTCCCTCCCTCAGGCTCCCTCAGCCTCCCTAGGAGTCCCGCAAACCAAAACCATCCCAACGCCCCAAAACAACATTTCCGGAGGATCCCCTTCCCCCTTCCCCCTTCCCCACCCCCTGCGGTTGATGCTTCAAACGCCGGTCAACCGGTCATCCGTTTCCGTTCATGCGCCGTTCCCCACCCCGCGGGCGAGTTCGGTTCCCATATCCCCTGCCCCCCAGCCCTCTCTCGTAGGCGCCCAGACCCAGACCCTAAGCCCTCCCCCCGCTCACCTCCACTCGCTGCAGGATGTTACTGAGCCCCACTCGTCGCCGACCCACCATCGCGCCGCTGCCTGCAGGCGCCACTCCACTCGCTGAGGTGCCCCACGCGGCGGCTGATGGGGGCTGAGAGGCCGCGAGTCGGGACGCCACTCCGCCCCAGAAGTCCCCCTCCGACAACACCCCCCCGCCCACGAGCTCCTCCCATAGGGCCCTCAAGTCACTTCCGTGCGGGAGGGGGAAAGGGGAGGAAGGCCGGAAAGTAGTGGAGAGGGGGGGGAAGGGGGAAGTCCCGTCCCTCCATTTTCCCAACCCCATTTCTTTCCCTTAGCCTGTCTGTCTGTCTGTCTGTCTGTCTGTCTGTCCTAATGTCAACGTCTGCGCAGATCCCCTATTTCCTCCCCGCAACCCCCCCAACCACCCCTCTCCCCCCCTCTCTCCCCGGACAACCAAAGAGGAGGGGCTGCACAACCCAAAACACACCACACACTCACCCATCTCTGGCGAGCATCTGTTGCCGCTGCTGTCTGGAGAAGCCCCCCGCCACCGCCGGATTCTCCCCTGGAGCTCCACCACCACCACCACCAGTACCAGCAGCAGCTGCTGCCCCGCCGCCATTGGCGGTTCCCCCCGCACCCCCGCCGGCCAAGGCGGCAATCACCTGGACGATGTGTGTGTCGAGGGGAGGGAGGGGGATGTGGATGAGGGGGTTCAGAGGAAGCGGGAAACGATGGTAGTGGATGGAGGAGGCGGAGGAGGAGGTGCGACCCTCCCCCCCACATAACTTCCTTCCTTCCCTGTACGGCACTCACCTTCGTCAGCACGTCCAGTGCCGCATCCCGATCTGCCACACTCTCAAACTGAAACACGTAATGGTGCTGAGCGGGGCCCTGAGCTTGTTGAGGGGAGGATGTCGCCACCGTGATTCGAACCAGCGGCTTGTCCTTTGCGCGCTGGTTGTCTGTTTCGTTTTCCGGAGTTGTGCCGGAGGAGTGAGACGGGGGGAAGGGGAGGGAGTAGGTGAAGGTTGGGGCGGGGTGACAGAGTTGGCGAGGGTGGGTGGGAGGGGGAAAGACGAACCACAAACGAGTGAAGCTGCTGCCAGGGAGGAAGAGGGAGGGGGGAGCTGAAGGGCTGGTCTGTGGCTGAAGGAGTGGCTGAAGGGAGAGGGTGGTTGGTGGAAGATGAGATTGAGGGCGGAAATTACAGGTAGTAAAAGGAAAGGGGCCAACTGCTCCCTACCGATGATGATACACGTCTAAGTCTGAGGCACCAACTGGGGGGGGAGTCCAATGCGATGACGCAACCACCGCCCGCCCGCCCGCCCCCTTGCAGTGCAACTCCGGAAGCTCAGAGCCAAAAGTGCGGGGGAGGGCGCTGTGAGGGGGTGGCAGGTCGTTCCGTCCCATTGGGGGACAAAAGTGCGGGGGGAGGGAATGGGTGCTGCGGCTCGGCAGAGCCGGGTGTTGTGTGTGTGTGTGTGTATCTGTGCGTGTGTGTGTGAACGTATCTGACCGGGCCTGACACTGGCCAGGGACTGCTGCCCAGCCCCAACGGAAAGACCGCCTAAGCTCTCTCCCGCGGACGGGAGAGGGGCGCGAGGGGGGCCTCTGCCCCCTCCCCCTAAGCAGCCGAGAGCCGCAGGTCCGCTAGCTCAGCTCTCCTTCCCCCTGGGTGGGGGGTGGGGGTGGGGGGCGTCGCACGCACATATGCTCTCACAAGTCAAGGCTCTATCACGCGAGTTTGCGTTCACTGCGCCCTAAACACGCCACACGACTCCTCTCCCTCCCCGACCTGATCCGGCTCTTGGGGTGAGGGTTCACTTCTAAGACACAGAGGAACCCCGGAGACCCTGTACCGACCCTAAACCCCTCCCTAGTAAGGCACCAGGCCCTAATAGAAAGCTCGGTCTCTCAGGACCCCAATCTCCGTTGCGGGGGGGGGGCGGGGTTCAAGAAAGTCACGCTAGCCACCTATCGAGCGCACGTGACGGGGGGCGGGCACGGACTAGGCTGGCAGCTACCGACCAGTTCACCGACGGGACTAGGGATGCCTCGAGCCAACAGCACCACACCACTCGAGGCACAACTCACACACAGCGTCACCCAGTCTGGTCTACAGCCACCCCCTTAGCCTGCAACTCCGCCCAAGCCCTACAGCAACGACCTCTCAGGAAAAACCCCTCCCACTGCCCCTGCCTGCCGCATCCTGTGGCGAGGTGAGCCCCCTCCCCCGCGAAACGCCCTCTACCCGGACCCAACAAAGAAAACCCCTCAGCCCTATCCCCTTCCCACCTTCCCGCCCCACGGGATAGTCCATCTACCGGGGTCCTCCTAGCACTCCCACTCCTTCTATACCCCTTACCCTTCCTCTCACAGCCCAACTACACAACACAGGCGCCCGTCCAGCTTGTGTGTGTGTATGTGTGTGTATGGCTCAAGAGGGAGTGTCCCAGGGAGCTAAAGATACGCGCGGGGGGGGCCCGACCATGTCCCCAAATGCTGTTTTGAGGCACCCTCATCCTTCTCACCCATGCCGGCTTCCGTGAAGTCATTGACTTTTTCGGGTTCAGCACCCACCACCACCAGCATCACCCAGCGGAGTCTGCCGGATAGACAGCTCCACTCTTCTGGTCGGCTCGCAGGTCTCTCACTATAACTGGGAGGGTCCATAACCGTCTATCGACATGGGGCGTTGCATCCACCCTCTTACGGTCGAGGGAATTTTATACCTTCTTGTCGGGATCGATCCTGGAATTTTCCAGGAACACTATGCCTCGCCCTAGCAAGTTACAAGTTACAAGCTCCACGCACAAGTGCGGGGGTGTCCGTAAAAGCCATTGGGGGGGGCCCATGGACGGTAAATCGTTTCTGGCGCGGTTACGTGGTGGACCATCATCGTCCTCCCTCGTCCGCTTGAGCATGTTTGGTGTGTCTGGAGCCATACAAACCCTGCAGCGGAAGAAGCGCAGCGCTGGAGTGCGCGCTGCGGTGCGATGAGCTCCGAGTTGCTGTTTCCCTCCCCCTTCCCTCCACGTGAAGCTCTCAAGCGGAGGACCGGGGACTCGGTCCCTCGGGCCCCATTCGGCAAACCTGAAGACCCGGACCTGCCGTCGCCGCCCCTGGAGTAGCAGCAGCCGCTCTTCCTCCCCATCAACTGCCCCTGGAACACCTCTTACCAGCTAGCTAAGTGGGGCTTATGTCCCCCCCCTACTCGATACTTACTTGTGATGGCCGCCAGAGGAATTTGGAGCTCTTGGCCCGGCTGGGCGCTGCCAGGGGCAGGCTGCCACCGAAGGCTGCTGCTCGCAACTGTTAAGTATCCCTCCGGGCCTCCAGCACCAAGCCATGCGCGCTTGGTGATAAGTTGCTGCTCGTGCGCCATGGCTGCCGCGGTGCTGAGATGTGCCGAGTCCTACGGCCGCCGTATTATGATCGCTGCCTACATCCTTTGATTTGATCCCCGCAATTTGCGATCAATTAAAACATGTAATGTTTCACCCAGTTCTATTTCGTGACCGTCCGAAAAAGGGAATCGCATCCACTCTTGCATGGACCGATTTGGGTAGCAGTAGTTAGAATAGTTCAACTTATTTTGAAGAGAAGCATGCTGTTATTACATACGTAATGCCTGGGGGCAACACCGACATCCATGCATGTACGCACTGTAAACCAGCTTTTGCCTATCAGCTGCAGGCACTTCTCATGAAGGGATATCAATTCGCCAATAAATTGATGCTTTAAATACAGGCACATGATAGGCCATGACCGGCCCCATCCATCGTCGATCCCGTCCCGCGAAAACGGGAATCCACACTATCGCGGGCCATGGAAACTAGATAAACACTACTTATAACACGGTAAGGGATTGCATATTAACACATACAGGACGATTGCGTACTTGTGTACTCGGGCGTTCTGGGGATCTGACCTATCAAATGCCGTTAGGTCGTTAAAGACAGGGTTCGTTGGCTCATAAAACATAGTTGCACCTTGCAGAAAGCATTATTGAATACATGGTGACGGGTATAAATTGAACCTGGTTCCTGTGCAAGCATGCGTCATTCTTCAAATATTCAGCTTCCAAATGCTTGCTAGGCAGGATTGTTGTAGCGGGTGACAGGCTTTCGTAGCAATGTTATCGTTAGTTAGATGTCTTTATCCCACACATACATCTTTATAAAATGCATGACGTCGCCCGCATAGTAGTCAGACCCAATTACCGCCGGTTGAGCCTGCTATTTTGTCTTGCTTCCTTCGAGTAATGTCGAACGGAGCAGTGCAGATATTCACATGTTTTACAATCCATTTACATGAATCTTTTTATATGACCCACATGAACACCTTCGGACAAAGGTCGGGTCGGTGGGTCGCCTATCAGACGCTAAGCACTTGGACGACCTAAGGACACCATACCATTACACGTATTTGCTTTGCCATCCTGCATTGCTTCCTTCGGCGGCAAGGTAAAGCACTCCGACTGTAGTACAACGTTCGCGATTTCGAGAGAACTAAAGGCGGGTGGCATACTTTCCTACCACTCCAATCTGACTTTCGAAACAGTTTCATGGCGTCATTCCCGGCTCTACGGCGCGCGACGTCTTGCCGGTTTCGTGCTGGCCGTGCACAAACTGTGCCAGTGGTCTGCGCCAAGAGGTGAGGCAGTGATTTGAAGAGGAGCGGGCCGCGCCAAAGATTTCACTAATATTAAATAGATACTAACTCACTAACGTCCTTCGGTTCACTTTGTGCACCTTTCGGTTTATTTCGCAGCTTCTTTGGACGCTTTAACAACGGGCCGGCCGTTCCATACAACAAGTATGGTATTCGCCACGTGTCTCCCCTACTTACAGCAACAGCAGGAAGCACGATTTTGGCACAGCGGCCCTACGTGGCAGGTGCGAGGGGTGTTGCTCAGGCCAGCACAATGCCTTTAGGTTCCGGCGCTTTACAGCTATGTATTTTGAGCTGTGCAGACAAGGTTGACTTCAAGGGTGTTCATCACGTGGCTCTGCTGTGCGAAAATCTAGAGCGCTCCTTGGAGTTCTATCAGGGTGTTCTCGGTAAGACCTTTCAGTCAAAAGCGCCGGTGTTGTCGCGCGCCATGCTCAAATCTTCGTGTACACACGTGAAGGTCTTGAAATTAATCCCGAGCGTCCTCATAACAAGTTGCCCTATCGTGGCGCCTGGTGAGTGAAGCGGACATTGACCGCTTTTATCCGAATCCGTTGATGGCATGAGCGTTGAACGTTCTTAATATTATGCGCAGGTTGTGGATTGGGCCTGAGATGATTCACCTGATGGAGCTGCCGAATCCGGTGAGGACGAGCGTTGGCCGTGGGTCCGTCGCTTCACAGAAGTATACGGAAGTGCCTTATAGTAAAGACGAATTCCAAGTTCGCTTACACATGAGATGTTAGGAAATGAGTAAGAAAGAGCAGTAAGAAATTCCAGTGAGAGGCCGATATCCGCCCTCCCCGGCCCTCCCCCAACCCAATCCCGTTAACCTGCTCCTGTCAGGATCCTCTGTCGGGCCGTCCGGAACACGGTGGACGTGACCGGCACTTCTGTATTGGCGTGGCTGCGGTGGAGCCCCTGGTGCAGAAACTGGAAGCGGCTGGAGTACCGTATACCAAGTCCATGTCTGGCAGGCCTGCGGTATTCTTCCGCGACCCAGGTGCGCCGTGGTGGGCTCCCAACTTGCTCAGAAGGATCATGCTTCCTTCTACAAAGTTGTCTGGAAGGGCGAGGTGCTGAAGGGCACGTCGCCATGTACATAAGTCGGGGGGCAAGGGCGCTCGTTTATTGAAACGACAAGGGCTGGGGAGTGGCGTGCCTGTCTAGGAAATGGTATAATTTTCAAATGCGCACCGATTTTCCAAGTTTCCGCATCGCACTGGTATCCCCCGTTTCCTTGTCCGCTTCCTCATCGCGTCCTCATCCCCGCTGTTTCCTGCCCCTGGCCCATTGTCAACTACATGAAAACCTTGCTCTGTTTTACTAATCTGAAAACATGATAACAATCCGCTGACCTCATCTGGCTTTGCTGATCGCCCCTCTATGCGGCCCCTTGCAGATATGAACTGCCTGGAATGCGTGGAGATGGAGTCATGGCGCTAGGGGTGGAGCGAGACTGGTCGGTTATGGGCGGCATGCGGCTCGGGGGGGAGGGAGGTAATTCTATCGCAGTCAGGATGTACGGATATATCTGTGTGTATGCCGTGTAGGTTGAGGAACGGGGTGGGGCAGTGTTGTGTATTATCATCAGTGAAAAGGTTCTCCTGACGGCGCACACAGCTGTTTGGACGGTTATCACGATTGCGATGGTTGATCTGGGTTATCTGTTAGCAATGATGCAGATGCGGATGAAGCTGCATATGCAGATGCCTAGAACGACCTGAAGATACAATTGCGAGCACGGAATACTGACTTATGAGCGGTGAGCTGCGCTGCAAGGGGGAAAAGGCGGGTGTGCCAGCCCCGTAGTGAAACCCGCGGCCGGGCGCTGCGTTGTCGTTACCCTAGTTGGTGACAGCTGAGAAGAATTCCCGTAATTCGTTCTTCCTGTACTCGATTAAGTCTTGTGCCGTTGTGGAAACGTTACGAGTGTGTCTTGTTGTACATATCGCCATGTCGGCACATCGCGCGGTCGGTCCCGCAACGATGCCGTAGTTGCCATTGTGTGCTTTACTGCCGTACTTGTGGCCGTTTCCACCCTTTTGACTAGAGCCCTCTCGCATCCCCAACGGACGGCCCCTAGGTCACAGGGCCACAGGGATAGGGTGATTGTACTGCCAAGGGGATGGGCACTCCTGAATCATCTCCTGGTGTCAGCGGTTATATGCTTCCTCTGATAGATTCCAGTGGCCAATATTGGTGGAGGTCACGGCAGCTATATAACATCTATTTGTTTGGCACTCCGGAAGTTTCTTATCTTTTGCAGCATCGTTACTGCACTAAGCGTTGAATTTGGAAGATCGATGTTTTTTTTTGTGGGGTTTAGGTGATATATAGGGAGGAAGTTTGTCATTAATGACTATTACTGCACACGCTGCCCTTTGCTTGCCGCCGGCTTCGAGGGGATTTCCAAGCAAGTTGTGTTTGTTCATGTTGATTCGTCCTCCTAATGTATCTCTTTCGTCGACCTCCCGGTGCTGGAGCTAATGTCCCACAGCTGCTAGGCGGATCGGTGCGTAGTGTCCTCGTCCCACTAGTTGGCATGGTTCTGTAAGTCGTTAGGCATCGTTTTCGTGGCAAGTGCCTGGGGTTGAGGTTACAACACATGCAGCAACGCTAAATTGAGTCGTTTGTGGACCGTATGGTTAGGCACTTAGCTGTTATTCTTAGTCTGTCATGTCCCAGTTTGTCATCTCCCCGGTTAGTCACTGTGCGGAGAGGATCTAGTAGTGTAGAGGTGGCGGGGCTGTCTTTTCCCTCCTTCGGTTTCCCTACTCCGGCGTTGCAGGTTGGGCTGAACGTGTAACTGCCACCGGTTTGCCGCTAAAAGGGCAATAGATTACTTCTTCTGGCTTGTGCATGAAAAGATCATTTTCGTGCGCGACGAGATTCATGGAAGACAGGTTGTAGGCAATTTATGTCTTGGAGGATAACGGTTTTACGAGCGCTGTCCAATGATCTCTCTCTTATTGGGGGCACATGACCGGGGATATATGTAACATTATAATAGTAAGAAAATAACGCAGAGAAAATGATCGAACGCTTTACCAGGTGGATAAAACTCATAGGAACTGTGTAGCCATAGCATACCGCTACTGCTGCATTCGGCCAACACTAAAATTGAGGACAACATTGCAGACAAAGATCCTGAATGTACAATTAGCCAAATTAGATAATTCTTACCTAGCGGAGCATCTCAGATGGCAGAACTTGCCATGGCAGAATTTGCCATTTGTATACATAGGCTGCGAGATTCAACTCCCACTATATACCGTTGCCCAATATTTCGGACAAAACCCCTAGCACCTGTCGGCACAAGTACACCTCTAGTACAGTTGATCTAAGTTGACCTAAGTTTGACCACCCTGATCTTTTGAAACCATTACCCAGGTGTTTGGCAGTCGAGCCTAAGGAACAGCACGCACACGCAGACCTCCATCACGTCCAGACCAGAGAGCGAGCGAGTGCGGGAAGAGAGACAGAGAGCTTTCAGGTCTCCCCAGGTTTTGGCTGCGCGTACGACACCCGTATCTTGCGGCCATGGAAGGAAGTGCCATCCAGAGCCACCGCCCTGTCATAACGAGTGGTGTTGGCGGGGAGAGGAGGGGGAGGGCGCACAAGGTGCATGGGCCGGTGCGAGGGAAGCATATTAATACAGACTAAAGTACTACAGCACGCAGCGCCTGGACAGGTTGCGCACGCAGCTCTCTTGGTCATGTACGAACCTAGCAACGTAAAGGCCTCGGAGCTGCCGTACTTTGGCGCGCGAGTTCCACTGCGTCAGTGCATTGGCTTGTCCATGGCCCCCTCCCCAAAAAAAAACCACCCACCACCACCCAAATGCTCCCCAAGTGGGCACCACACCGCGCTTACTTGTCCACATCCTCATCATTGGCAAAGTGCACGTGAGCAAATCCCCGTGACCTGTGCCAAAACAGGAAACAAGAGCGGAGGAGAGGGCACCGGGCAGGTAAGGCAGGGTGCACTGTACAGAAACCGAAAGCCAACAGTACCCGTACCAGTACCCGTGCCAGCACCGCCGGCGGCTGTCCGGAACTGTCCCGGGGCCCATTGGGGCCACACACCGTTACCGCAGTGCGCCACCAGGTGCACCGAAGAGGTCGCAGCCCCAGGTCGTAGACCGGCCCACGGGTCAGCGGTCCGCCAACCGCCAGCGGGCGAGCAGTGCGCCAGGATGGAGGTGCCGCACACACGCAAGACAAGGAGTACGGCGAGACGCAGAGTACGGCGGTGCGCGAGCAGTACATGTGACGCACGGGTCTCTTAGGGCGCAGCCCCACAAAAGCCGTACATCTTGCCAAGTTGACAACCCACACCTTGGGGGTGGGGGACTGGAGCCCCAAACTTCTTGCCGTACACTCGAGGATACTGATGACGGTTTGACGCCTGTTGACTAGGAAGAAAAGGAACCTCCTACAGCCCCCCGACCCCCGGCATCCAACTCTGCACCCTCCTATCCCTTTTTTTACCCCCAAACCCCCCATAATGCCCCATACATACACACACGCACACGCACCCACCTGCCGGTTGCCTTATCTGAATGCAGGCGGATCTTGGTGGGGACCGCACCCGCCCGACTGAACAGCTGTTGGAGCTCCTCAGCACCCGCCTCGAAGGAGATGTTGCCACAATAGGCAACCGGGTAGCCAGCCACGCGCCCACCACCGCCGCCGCCACTTGTGCCATCCGCCGCACTCGAGCCGCCGTCGCCCCCACTGGCTCGCTGACCCGGGGCCCCTGATGCGCCTCGAGCCTTGCCCTTCAGCTCCGCCGCCGCCTTGCACTTCTCTACCTGAGATATATACATATGCATGTATGCATGTGCGTGTGTGTGGGGTGGAAAGGGGGGGGGAGAATGGGTGGATTACTGCACCACCTAAGGGATATCAACACGTCACCACCCCAGATACCCGAACCAGCTCCACCACCAAGAGTGACCAAGGAAAGGGGGGCCCTAGAGTATTTGGATGTTCTCGAAGAAGGATCTAGAACGCGGTCCCTCCGAGTTGTACGGACGAAGACTGCAGCAGCTAGTCACTGTGAGTCGGGGGACTCCCGGGGCCTCCCCACGTGTGTGTGTGTGTGAAGGGGGGGGGACTAGGTACGGCACAAATGAGAAACAGACGGGAGATGCCGTACGAAACAAAAGTTAAACCTGATAGGTTTTTCGGCTAGACTTTCAATTTGTTCTCGAGCGACGCACATGCGGGGGAGGGGGAGGGGGAGGGGGAGGGGGAGGGCGAAGTGAAAAACGATGATGATGATGATGATGATGTGGGTTTTGGGCTCCCGATAGCTCTTTCCTCACTGACGAAGTAAAAGGTACAAAAACCCATCATCCCTTAGTAACCTCTCCCGCCCGGCCCTGGGCCCGTATCGCACCCAACACCCTCACCCTCCCATTTGTCGATCGCCGGTGCTCTCCCCCCCACCAGCCCTACTGCTCTCCGCCTGTCCATCTCATCCCCCTTCCCTCCCCTTCGCCCCCCAGCCGTGTGCCCCCCGGGCCCCAATTACCACACCTGGATCGTACAAACACACTCCATCCCGTATAACATCCCGTATAACCGCTCACCTGCCAGACCCTAAACCCCTAACCCAGCGCCCACCCCGTCCCCCACCGCACCCGCAGAGCCCGCCCCTCCAGCATCTCCCCCTTGCAAGCCAGAGCCGCCTCGTAGCCCTCCTAGGACGGGGAAGGAGCGGAGCGGGGTGTGGTGGTGGTGAGGGGGGAGGGGGGGAGGAAGGGGGGCGGGGGGATTACACTCATCGACATGAGTATAAATCGTTTCATTTTCAGCCGCTCCGAAACCGAGTGACGCTCGGGAGCCACCTTCGTCGTACCACCACCGCGCACCTCACCGTTTCCCCCAACTGATTATGTCATACACACAACCAATGATTTGATGCGCACACCAGACTCCACAACCCGCGGAAGATAGGGCGGAGGGCGGATGTGTAATGGGGTGGGGTGGGGTGGGGTGGGGTGGAAGTGTCCACGATACCCCGTCCCCCCAGCCGGCCTGTGTGGCCCACGTGGTGCACACAGCGCTCACGGCGACCCACCTCCCCACACACACATCGAAACACCTCCACATCCCCAACCCCACCCGCATATATATACGTACATACATACATGTATACGCACACCCCTCCCTACCTGTGTTTTGAATGTTATGTAGGCCGTGCCGTTGAAGTTGCCCGAGTCGGGGAATGTCAGCAGGTGCATGGACTCCACCTCCCCGCAGTAGCTCCAATACTCCCGTACAGTGGCCTCGTCGAACTCGTGAGGCAGGCCACTCACCCAGATCTGCAGTACGGCAGTACGAAGGAGGGGAGGAGGAGAGGGGAGAAAGGAAGGGACGAAAGTGCGGCCGAAAGTAACTTTAAAATATATTGCAGACGTTTTTCAAAACACGCACTACAAGTTGATAGGGAGATGGAGTTGAGATATAACCCCGCTGATATTCAGGATCCACAGATTCAGGATCGATATGTTAGTAGTACGGCACGAAGAAGTCATAGTACGGCATTACGGCATAAAATCAGTTACGACGATGGACTGTGGACGGTGAGAACGCCGTGCGGGTTTTCGAATGGGACAGAACAACCAGCGGGTCATTGGGCAACAGCAGCCTCTCCCCTTCCCTCCCCCTCCACACCAACACAAATGCCCAGCCTGTTAATCGCATTGCTGACTGGAAGCCGCTACTGTTGCCACAGCTCTTTTAATTTTAAGTCAAGTGCATAGTCACAGGTGGCCGGGGGCGCGCCTGGACGGGTGCCCTCCGGGAGGCCCCTTCCCCGCCCTCTCCCCCCACCCCCCAGCGGACCCACCCTCCTCGGTACGAACCCATCCTTCGTACTGTCCAGCGCCATGAGCCGAGCTAACCGAGCCTCAGTCTCAGCCTCTACGTCAGCTTGGAGCTGCGGGGTGGGTGGGGGTGGGTTGGGGGTTGCACCGTTGGGGCGGTTAGGGGAACGACCAACGAACACTGAGCGGCCCGATGAGGAACGTGCAGTGGCATTGCAGGCGGAGTCGGTGTCCCGGGCGGCGCGGGGCTGGGGTGGGCTGGTGGGTTGGTAAAGGGGGGAAGGGGAAGGGCGGGGGGGCAGGTAAAACGGCGGGCGAGGAGATACAACCGGTCGTGAGGGTCACCAGCTGGTGGACACCGCAGTGGACGGCAGCTCCGCGTCCACATGGCTTTGCGAGGGCAATCAGGCGGGGGTTCGTAACGTGATTGTCGACATCGGTAGAGGGGTGCTGATCACTGCACTAACCCACAAGATAGTCGTAATGCACACGTCAACTGTCCTTTCGCTACAGGTACATGTTGTATGCTATTTCCTTCCGGCACCTCCTGTCAAGACCTCTCCTCCCCCACAGAGCCCCATGACTAGTATGGGTAACCGGCACCGAGACTCCAAACGTGTGCCAGCGGGGTCGTGCTCTCCCCGGTGGCGGGCCCCTCCACACTCCCGCCCCCCGGTTGACCCCACTCCACCCCCCAACCCCGGGAGGAATGTCCTCCTTGTCGAGCGGCGTCCCTGACTGCAACTGACCCCACATCAGCGGCCGATCTGACGTCACCGCCGCTCCGAACGGAGGGGTGTCCGTCCGTCCATCTGTCTGTCTATCTGTCTGTTGTCCTTAAGTGTCCGTCCGTCCGTTTGTCTGTCTGTCTGTCTATCTGTTGTTCTTAAATTATTGTACAGGTCTCCATCCACGACCCGCATTACCTCCCGATACCCAGGATCCACGTGCGCCCACCCTTGCCCCTACCCCGCACTGCTCCAGGGGGGTCATGTGGCAGGGCTGGGTTCACTTCCCCCACACCCATCCTCAGTCCCAAACCAACACCCCTAGTACCCCCCGAACCCCACCCCCAACACACCTGGAAAGAAAACGAAAACGGCGTCTTCCCGTCATTAAGCGGTTGCTGCTGCTTGCTAGCCTTCATGTCGGTTGTTTTTGTCGTTGTAGGCGCTACATCCATTGCTGTCCTGCCATCAGCAGACCTGCCACCCGCGGCTGCTGGAGGTGAGGCGGCTGTGGCCCCCCTAGTAGTGGCCCCAGCAGCCCCCTCCTGCCGCGGCCCCGTATTCTCCTCCTTCTCGTCCTCCTCTGTCTCCTCCTGGCTTTTCCGTTTCTTGCTGGATTTCTTCTGTTGCTCGCTTGTTCGGTTCTTGTCCTCCACCTTATTCACCTCCTCCCCCCCCTTCTTGCTACTCTTCTTCCCCTTCTTCCCCTTATCACTTTTCTTCTCCGCCTTCTCGTCCTCCTCCTGCTTCTTACCCACGGGCTCAGATTCCTCCCCGACACTATCAGAGTGCTTCGCATCCTGCAAACCACCAACCGCAGGGGCGGGGGGCCCCGAGAACCCAACGGCCAACTTTAGTTTCCCTCCGCCGTCACCCCCGGCCGCGGAAAACCCGAGCACCGCCCGTATCCTTGCCGCCTCGTCCGCATTACCCTTCCCAGCGGCTACAACAGCGCCAGCACTCGGGACGGCGGGGGAGGCAGCGGCGCCATTTGCCGCCCCCGCTCCACCCGTGTCCTTGTCCTTGTCCTTGCCCAGCTTCTTGTCCTTGTTCTTCTTACCCGCGCTGGTTCCCCCCATATCGGTGTCGGGTCCAAGTCCAGGGAGGGCTGTTGCAGCCGCCGGAGTGGCCGAGGGGAGCCCTGATGGTGTCCAGGGTTCCACACGCGGGATTGGCTGTGTGAGTGGAAGCATGTGTAGTTGCATGTAAGTGGGGGTGGGGTGGGATATCAGGATAACTTGCCCTCTTTTCTATGCCATGAAGCAGTAGCGGTCGCAACAGCCGTGACATGAAACACGTAGGGGTTACGGACACTAAGGCCCAACAAGTACGGCGATTTTCAGAGGTGTCCTCCCTCAAAATGGGGGTTACTCTCTCCAGGTAAGGGAGGAGGGGGAGTGACAGACATGATCCCCCACAACCACAAACCCCGCTCCCCCCTTCCAATTGCCTTTGTATCAACTCCCTCTCCCTCTCTCTCACGCTCATATAACTCAAAGGCGGTCCTAGCCTCTCCAGTGATCCTACCTTGACCACCTTGATCAGTAAAGAAAGGTCCCCCCAACCTTCCCCCATGCGCCAACTCGTCGTGGCAATCTCTCGCGGGGCCTCCAACCCTCACCTCCCCCACTCGCCCACCGGGTCGAGCAGGAGAAAGGTACGGTGGGGAGGCGACTTATGCCCAGATAGCAAGAGAGACGCACACAAAAGTCGCACAGAAGTTCCCCTAGACACATGTGAGCTGGAACCTGACCTGAAGTGTGTGTCATGGCATGTTCGTCCTAGAGCAGACTTTACGTTGGCACAGTGTCCCATCATCGCCAACCGGCCCACCCACCGGCTTCGCCGTTGCCGGCCACTGCTGCAGCGGCCGCTGCGGCCGCCTCCGCCTCCCTGGCCGCCCGCTCTGCCGCACGACGGAGTTGCCTTCGCTGCTTGTATGTCAGACCATCCTCACCGACGACTCCGTAGCCCTTACCAGCAGGAGCGGGGGACGCGTCCTGTTCCCCATCGCTCAGCCCAACGGCGGCGGCAGCACGCTTCTGCTTTTTGCTGGGGCGGTCTCCAGCGCCGGCACCGTCATCGTGTTCGTTCCCGCTTGGTGTTTTGTCCTTTCCCATCTGACACAAGAAGGTACAAGCAAGGGCACTTCGCCATCGGAATCGAAGCCGCCTGAAAAAGATGCTCCTGACTAGTGAAATTCATTCCTATCACCTGTAACAGCTCCTCAATGCTATTGTATCTCGGGTAAAGAAGCGGCTTCTCTCCTTGGACAATCGGCACTCGGCCGACATGCGCAGGTTGCACCTACAATAGTAGGCAGCAGCGATGTGAATCTAGTAGATTCATGGTTACCCCAATGCTCATTATGTCAGTGCATTACCTTTCCTTTCTTGCCCATGATAGATAGGCTGCAGTAAAGTTGAAACTCCACAGGGCAAATCCCCAGACCTTTAGATGATCTCTTTCAAGCCAAATAACTTTTTACATTAGCTGATGGATTCAACAACAGCAGTTGAAACAGTTTATTACTAACACTTTCCGTTGTACGGCTGAAGCCATCCATCGTGATCTTTAATGCTAGCGTCAGTCGGCCGGTAGCCATAATTAAAACGAGTCATTTTCAGATTAGATGTTTGTTTTGATGCATTCGCCTCTCTTTTCCATGGCGTTTGCAGCAAACACCAACATCCTTACAGAAGCTGTAAGGATGTTCCATTGCTAGGAATGCAGGCATCCATCATGAATGCAACCGTTTACATATAGCGCTCGCGTACGCGCAATGACCGGCCACCACCTTGCCGGTGGTGCCGCCCCAAGGCATGATCATCAAAGAGTTGGAAGATCTTGTTTTACGGCTGTCCCAACCAACCCGAGTACCTTCCAGCCGCATTTGGCCATGGACAGCACGCAGATATGAAGGAGGCGCTGCTGGCGGACTTGCCTAATGCCCGCCTCCTCAGCTTGCAAGCGTGCCAATTGGCACGCACTGGAGGTTATATAACCATTAATATATTAATGGCGTAAATATTAAGAACGAGTGCAACTGGAGGCGCAGCTGAGACTTCTGACGGACGATGTGTGGTAAGCGGGTGGTGGGGGTGCTAGGGGTAAAAAACAACAGCAGGGTGCCACCAGCAGCAACAGCAGTAACAGCAGCAGCTGTTGATGATTTTGACAGCTGACCAGTGCATCCATCCAGGCCACTGTGCTCGCCACTCCTTAGGAGGAGGGCATCGCGAAGAGCTGTGGATCAGTCAGTACACAGTAGCGGTTATTTTGTTTTCATGTGGGGGAATAGTGGTCCTATGTATTAGTTCTGCTGCTTGAGTTTGTGTGCTGCAGTCACCCGTAATGTAACCTGTGTTTAGCGCACTTTGTGGGCCTCTGCTGGGTTCATGGCCAGCAGATAGATAGATAGATAGCTAGGTAGGTAGATAGATAGATACGATTAATGGGGACCGTCTGCAGCAGGGTCTGCCCTGGATGTGGATAAGCTGCCTACCTGCATGACTTAATTCAGAACTCTATTTGCTGAAGGTGGCCTCATACGCAGTATCTGTCTGAAACACCATGAGCCCGCGGCAGAGAGCAATTGCAAGGGCAGCTGCCGCCTGTATGTATGTATGTATGTGGCCATCTGGTACTGAATATTTGGGGACCCGGGAACACGGACTCACCGACACTGTCACAGTGACGACCGACACTGTGATGACACTGGGACGATCAGCCAGATGGTGGCCTTTTCATTGGCCAGCAGTTGTTGCGCTATCGATAAAGTCATTCAAGTGTAGGACGCAATCAAAGTCCCCGGCAGGAGAGTGAGCGCATAAGAGGGAATATTACTGAAAGTACGGAACGAAATTGAATGCTAGCCATGCATCCCCTCCCCTTATGCACGATTGCTATAACATTAAACTCTCAGCGATCAGTCTTAATTTCCTGTCGTCGGGGACCTTGGTTGTGTTTGTAGAAGTCGCTGTTGTATCACACGCTTACGCTGGCGTGCCGCAGCATGTTCATGCCGATACGTGCGTACGTTTGGCAGCTTTGCTCGTTCCAATTTCCTCATAACCGTTTCGGAAATAAGAAAATACATGATGGAATTGTAATCTTTCTTTTCTGTGGCATAATTCGTGTCGGTAATCGTTCCAAGTGCAGGATCGATGCGTCATCATTCTGGACAACGCCGTCGCTGCACCGACTTTCTTCAGTCTTTTTTTGCCAACGTATTATAATGAATATTATTTTCCAAGTGTTAAGTCACAGTTTCCGTTTTTCAGTTATCTATCCTGTGTCCCACAAATTTACGGCAGCGTTTCTGTTTTCTTCCCTTCCGGGTTTATGTGCGAGTTGCATAAACCTGCTTAGCTTTATTTGGAACCTCATACGGATTAAAAGCTATTTGCCCACAAGGTCTCAACGAAGATGAGGTTTACAGGTATAGAAGTACGGTAGCTCCTACGCCTGCAGAAACGCTGCGTACGTGGCCTATTAAGTCACTTGGAACTGTGATAGTTCCGGCCATGATATCCACAAATGTTTTCCCGGCTCTGGGTTGGGAGGCCTCTGCGGGATGGCTTTTTGCCAGCCCGTCCTGACTGAAACTTGTTTTGGCGGGTAAAGCTCACATGAGCATAAACTCTTTGTTTTCACGGTGGCCTAGAGCTACGGTTAACCAAGGCCGCGATTTTGCATCTACGCCGGCCTGGCTGTTCAAATAGTGTCCTGATGGACGCCCAAGTCTGCCAATACTTTCTGGGAAATGGGGGGAAGGGTCTAGATTCCATAAAATAAGGCTTTCTTTTTCCATACATCAGGGCTCCTTTCTTCCATAGGCTCCACATCCTTTTCCATAATTCTTCCTCCAGAATACGGTCCCTAGGGGTCCGGGACGTTTACATATACCTCTGTTATGGAAGGACGTCCAGAGTCCAGATCATTTGACTTCCTTGTGCATAACGGTCTTCCATAGAACATGTAATGAGACCAGACAAAGAGTACTGGCGGGCGATCATTATTTAACAGCTTGACAGACTTGTCATAACCCGTGCATATTGTTTTGGGCAAGGAGCCTCCTTGCATTTCCATTTGCCACACACACATATATATGTCGGACACACACAACCGAATGGATGTATTACACATAGGTGGCCGGGATTAGTGGCAAACGGAAATATGCACAAAGAACGTAGTGAAAGGATACAAACGCAATGAAGCCTTGCCCGTCAAGATAGCAAAGTCTCTGTGGCTTCTTTTACTGCAAGAGCTCATATGCTCTTGATCCGTTTCCTCATTTCTTATCATTTATTACCGAACGACCTCCTGGATGTACTGCTATACGTCCTATCGATTTCTTGTCTTACTTCAAAACATGCAGACAGGCATATCTTTACCTTCTGCTATAACAACCGCCACCATAATAAGAGTATTTGAGTGCGGGAAAACAAGGACCGTTGCTTCCACATCATCTCGATCTCCAAAGAAAGGTTGTAGATTATGGCAAAAATGTGGCAAACTCCAGAATAAAAAGCAAGCAGATGGGTTCTGTTTAGCGAGTGCCGGGACATGTACCAAGCAAATTGGGAAGAAACAGTGACCTTCAATTGAAACGCGAGTCAAGGGAGGCCGCCGCCGTCCTGTCGATCACCATAACCATTGCACCAATGCCAGGTACATCGTGGCGTTTGCTTTTGCCATTTAGGCATGGTGCAACAACACCATAATGGTTTAGGTGATACTATACTATGCCTCCCTATTGCAATCTTAGCTGCCGGCGAACTTGACAACAGGAAGACGCTAGGGTGTATTCCTGCAATTTTTTGAGTCTCTGCAGCAAATTTATCAATCCACCAGAAACATTTTTATTCAGTGCAACGTTGGTCGGAAATTTGAATAGGAATTATCCTTTCTCCCTATAGAGCAAATATTATATTGGCCCAGTCTGTAGCAACGAAAGCCATCGAACCGGTACAGAACCGGTGGCGCTGGCGCTGAAGCACGAGATTTCGGCCCTGTCAACGAGCTTCCAGTAAACGAGCCTTCAGGTAAAAAATAATAAGATGTAAAATGTATTTGTTTGCTGTGTTGGACTTAATTGGCATTCTACGCATTACTATCAAGACCGTTAATATGGCACATCCATGTTTTACGCAAATAATTCATGTTCATGAAAATAATCCTATTACATCGAATAGAAAAAACGGATGAGGCGAAAGCGCGCCCAGAAGAAGCCGATGCAGTGGGCGACAGAATGACCTCAAGTAGTCCAAGATAATCCAGCAAGGACAAATACTGAAACTTTCAAGGAATGTGTTGAAATATATGACCTATCCAGCAGGAGAGATAACTAGTGCCTGTCCTGTTTTGGAGTAGTAGGTGGTCACCAGCGCGATCGCCTCGCTTGCTCGTCTGGCACCATGATGTTACGACCGGCGTATATTACCGCGCAACTGCAACGCTTAAGCAATAAAGTAAAATATCCTTTAATTGAGAGTATGAAATCGTTTTAGACATGATCCATTGAGCATTAGCTGCTTGATGATGCCAAGTCTTACCGTTCGTTCGATTCTTATCGTTCGATTCGAGTGCTACAGTGCTGGCTGGCGCCAGGACCGGGATAGGGATAGGTCAGGGAGCGTACATAAAGCTAACTAAAGAAGCAGAAAAGAAGATATATCTTATCACAAAGTCAGTAAAATTTTCGATCACCTACAGGCGACGCTCTCGTGTAATAGGTAGATACCTACTATACGAGAGCTGTAGGTGATCGAAACTTTTACTGATGGAGGAACACAAAGGTTATAGCAGGCTACACCACTGGGAGGGTGGGCGGGCGCTGGGTGAACAACTCAAACAATAAGACGGTGTATTATTGCAAAACAGGCTCCATCAACATGCTTAAGGCCATGACCCTGAGGACGCGAGCTATACTAAGCCAACACCGTACAACAATAGTAAGCGGGTACAACCTGCTTGACACCAACGGGGGTGTTTCCACTTGCTTATTAGAATTAGCATTGCGGAGTAGGGCATTGAAGTCCTTGGGAGGAGCTTACCACATACTTTCGACCCATATGCATGGGGACCAAGGAATTATTATTATTATTGTTACACCGGTGTCCGCTCAACCTGGCGTGTGTTAAGGGGGGAACGCTCTGAGGTCTGCACCTAGTCAGTCCTATATGCTATATTCCCACCGCGTCACCTCTACGGGCCCTTTTCCACCCTAGAGTTCCACCTATCGTTGGTGAGGACGCCACACTGTCGCTGTGGGACACGACCAGTTATCGCAACCTGCCGGAGTCTGGTGCTCCTGTTACAACTTCAGGCCACGTGCATGTCGCACCGCCTCCCTACCCTTACACTACTGCACTCTACACAGCACCCTGCGCTTTGTCCTGGCGGAGGGTAGTTAACCCCCTACGACCCGCTTCACCCGCTGGGGGATTCCGCACCCCTTGTAGAGGTCACCATCTAAGGCTCGTGCGAGGTTCGGCCTAGCCATGCTACAGCAACTTCTTGATAGGTACTCTGCTTGGACAGCTCCATTGACCTTGTGCATCCATTCCTCCTCCTCCTCGGCGCCTAGCCTTCTGGTGACGGACTTGTCATCACATACACCACGGGTTGCCCTGAGGAGAGCCTCAGATGCTGATACATTATCAGCGAACAAGTCTCACAACCCATGGTGACGCCGGTGGGATTCGAACCCACATCTCCCACCGGTTAAGGTGGTGCTTTACCAATTAAGCTACGGCGCCGGGGACCAAGGAATACGAAGGCAAGGTGTCGATGGAGGGCAGAGGTTTAATCCGCAACGTTAATCCTAGTGAATGAGGAAGTAAGCTTACCATTGTAATACTGCTGTGTGAAGGATGAAACCTGGCCGTTTGCAGCAAGGGGGCACAAAGCACCAACACAGCCTGAAACTGCAATCCCCAAATCAAGTAATGTTGCCACAGCACGGCTGAACTTTCAAACCAGCCCTCACAGCTCTGATTAACTTCAAACTCAACCCCGCACGTAGTACCTAGCCGCTGAAACAGTCTCTCGAGATGCTGGCATAGCACTCACCAATGACAGAAATTCGTTCGGATTCGGCATCTTAACCGTATGTGTTATCTGGGCATATCACGGGATCTGCATCCGCCAATCGGAACTTCTCCAAAGCAGTCGTGATACAACACGCTGGCAAATTTTCGGCTCCTCTTTCAAGCCTGTATTGTACTTTTCAAATCTGTTAAGCATATTTCCTAGCTAGGCTCCAGGCACACCCACGTGTTTATAGTGCATTATGAACATTTGCTTGCGTAATCCTGTGCAGCAACTAACATGCCGTGTGTAGTGCCTGAGTGCGGACAACATCATTTTGTCCCCTTCCCATCCCCCTTTTCCCTATGATAGGCCAAAGGGATAATGTCCTCATCCGTTGCTTTATTCTGTTTTATATTGTGCATGTTTGGTGGTGACCTAGCTAACTAGTTTCGCTGTGTGAAGGTGGAGTATATACTGGTGCTGGTGCCTTTGAACCACCTGTAGTATCTCGCCGCTGAAAAGGGCGCGCGAGTGTAGTTGTAGTTGACACATGTGCCGTATGGCATACCAGCTACTACACCGGCATTATGAATGATTATTATTGGCAGCAGGCCAGATCGATTAAAGCTCTTGTCATCTCCTTGTTCTCAACTTCACATGTGTATTATATACTATTGGACCCTTCGTTCACCACTGCGATCCCGCAGGAAATCTTCTCCACCCCAAGCAGAAGACCATGGCCATTGGGATTTCCAATAAGGTGTCTGGCAACAGCAGACATACAAATCCAGTAGCTTCACTGCAATGCCTCTTGGCAGGCCTTCTCCTCTGTGCAATTTGCATCAACCAGACTGCTCAGGCCTATGTTGATTGCAATAAATGGTATGGGAGGTGGAGGAACAGTAAGCCAACAGACCCAGGCCTTGCACTCCATGATAATTACTGGATTACGTTTGGCCCAGCTGGAATTACATCGCCAGCCCAGGTTAAGGCAGCCTACCTTGGGTGGAGCCATTGTGGCCCTGCCTTTCCAGATGTGGTCAGCAGGTATGATATCATCACAGTTGGATGGAGTTTTCACCGTTACCCTCACAGTGAGGGATGTTTGGACTGACTTCATGTTACATAGCAGGTATTAATACCTAAAAGGAAATGGTTATGGTGAAACCCACTCGTTTTTCGCAAATCTACTCAACAGGGTTAGTATTATCTCCCGTGATACCTTCCTAGAGTCTCGGCTATGCAAGGTAGATGTACGAACACGAGGCGGCCAATCCTACAGTTTTGGTGAACACTGCCAAGGTGGCCTGCCTCAAACCATGGACCTATATCCCGGTAAGGGCCTACATAACACACACCCCTCCATAAACACACAATGCACTTGAAAGCACGGCTTCAGGAATGCACATGTGTTTGGGGATAAATATTTATCCCCAAGCAGGCAGCATTTGTCCTCCACAAGACTTCACATGTGGCTCCAATAACATACATGCATGGCAAATGCACCACCATCAAGGTGGGGGCTATGCATGGCCTTTCTTGCATCCTGTTGGATACCTTTTGGCACATGTAAACTGGATGCAGGTGAACGCCTCTTATCAGGAACACTGGTTTTCAAGACTCGCTCTCGTGCAGCCCGCTCAGATACACGCCTGTCTGGTAATGATACATTTGTGGATGCCGCAGTATGTCTGATCACATCATATGGTGATCGACTAGCCAGCGGCTTCAGTGCATGTGACGCTCCCACACTGCTGCTCCCTGGCAACAACAGTGGGATCTTAGCTGGTATTGGCGGTACTGTGGCGCTAGATGACTATGGTGCGCTGATTACATGGGGTTCTAAGGCTACAACCACATATGGCATGCCATGTCACAGTGTGACATGTGTTTGCTCTGGCATGTGCACAGAACACCTACGGCTAGTTATGTATGTTACTGGAGCCTGGTTCAGTGATGTTTGTAATGTGCATGCGTGTGTACTAGATGCATGGGCGGCACATAGTCTGACCACACCTGGCCATAGTATAGTATTGTTGTTTGCAACACGAGTGAGGCCATTGCATTTGATTTCTACCTAATGGTAAGATAGGATTGAATGAGATCACACAGCTGTCGCATAAAAAAAGTGTCAGAGAAGATGCCGTGAACTAGGCACACGCAAACGTTAGAATAATTGATGAAATATCCTACACATATGTGCATGCATGCATAACCTTATCCTACATACATCTAATTAGAATTCGATGGGTCTATATATATCATACAAGTGTAAGCATATGCATTAGACCAACCTACTCATATAAAAAACAGCTTCAGACGGGGTCAATAGTTACATGAGGTCAAGAGTTGTAAAGATACAATGCAAATTTGCGATGCACTGCAAAATGATAAAATGGAGGAATGGGTGATTGAATAATTGGATGAGTGAATGCATGTATGAATGCATGAATGCGCATAATTGTACTTGCATGCATCACTTATGCATAACTGTCTTCTGCTACATGTGCATATACACAGGAACTGAGTACATCACATCTCTGTACCTAATCTTTCATCCCTGGCCAAGAAACTACAATTACGTGTTAGACTCCTTCAAGCTGCTGGACCCGCCCATTCGGAGCAGCCAGGCACTGGCCTACTGTGAAGGTGTGCTCTAAATTGCCACTACTCTGTGTGTGTGGGTGGGTGTGTGGGTGGGTGGGTGGGTGGGTGGGTGGGTGGGTGGGTGGGTGGGTGGGTGGGTGGGTGGGTGGGTGGGGGTGGGGGTGGGGGGGTGTGCATGCCTGCCACCCTATCACTGGGACAGGTTATTGTCATCCCGTTACACAGGGCAATGCCCCAGTCCTGTTATGCACCACCATTGCATAGCTAGCTATATATAGCTATATTATGCCTATATAGGCATAATAGCTATATAGGTGCATCTACGAACCTGTTCATTGTTGGTCCCCTTACTGGGGTTCATGGTGGGAGTGTATCCGGAATGACAACAAAGCTACACTTAGCAATTACACCTGATCTCCAAATCATAGACGGCTTCTTAACTGGCGGCAATACTGCTGGCATTAGTGCTGCTGACCGGCTAACAGCTAATGTATCTGGTAAATCTACACTTTTTCTGTGTAACTAAACCGTTAAATGTGCAGTTAGCAATTATTCTTATAGCATTAGTACACATTGAAAAAAAGACCCTGAACTGTGCATTGTCATGCAGGAAAACGTGGGTATTGCACTATGAGGGATTCAGATGTTGTTGCAAGCTGTCAGCTTACTGCAACAGTGACCAACACCTACAGTGTCACTACCTCCGACGCCGTGAGCCTCACCTTCGGTATCGCCAGTAGTGACAGTGTCTCTTTAGGTACCACCAATGGAACGGAGAACTCCAAGAACATAGAGGTAGGCCTCTCTATATACTGCGGACATAACAGATGAGTGTTATATTTCTCCTAACACATGTTTGATCTTCTGCTTTTTTGCACCCTGTCGCTCTTATTAATCCAGCTTAGTCTTAATCATGCCTCATTTGCAAAAAAACAGAGGACTCTCTCCAGTCCATGCGTGTATACCATTGTCAACCTACTCACCCACAAATACCATCAAGATGTACACCATGCCATATATAATGTAATCCTTCATATAATTGCACACAATTTGCACATGAGCACATATGCAGCTATATGGTCTCAATAGTTGGATATTTATTGGCAGGTATCAGCAACCGGCGTATGCAGCACTGCTGGCACTGCTGGACTGACCATCTATCTTTGCAAATAAAAGCACTGAGAGCTGAAAGCAGCTTTCTGTGCAAGGGCTCCCTTTCTGTGGCATACTTTCTTATGTGCTTTGACATATTACACATCTTAAAGCTGCAGGCGGCCCTGTACCCTGGTATGTGGCCACATACATTCATGCTTAGGCTGTATTGGCAATAAAAAGAGGCCACAGCCTGTAGTACAGGCAGAGGTGCACCCTTGTTATTATTCAATAACCTTATCGCTTTTTTATTGGGCGGGGCCCCAGCCATACTATAATAAGTCTGTGTACATACAAGAGTATATGTAATCAATGTATGTGATCTATATATGCTGATGAACAGTTCTTTGTCGATTACCTCTTTCTCAATATCCTTTATTGCATTTGGTTACTCGCCATTCACCATTCACCTACATGGTCCTGTGTAATGAAGGTGTCCCTGGAGCGTTCCAGCACGACAGGTCAGACTACTGGGATTCTAGTGAACCAGGGCGCAACTTCAGGCATTGAGGTAGTGGATGGTTTCTCGGTCACTAAGCAGCGTAGTGAGAGCAGACAGGAGACGTTGGGCACAGCTGATGCCTCATCCTGGTCAGATGCATTGGCTTCTGGAAGTGCAGCTACCTACTCCCGCCAGGTAGCTACCTGCTATAGCATTACAGTTGGATTACAAGGGTGAGGGCAGGATTAGAGTAAAAAAATGTAGTAGAAGGACGCTGACCTGTCCAAGGTTGTTACCTAAGATTGTTACAACCAGGGCCATGTGTGTTTACTGCACCTATTCTTAGTGGGTGTAAGCCAAAACATGCAGTCAGGAGGTAAGTACTTGTATGGGATGACCAGCAGGGTAGACAACCAATACCCGGTGGAAGAGGATTAGCTTTAGTAGGAAAATCGAGGACTTGCAGTACAACTGTTAAGCAGGCCTAGCTAGGCCTATAGGGTGGGACTGAAATTGTAAAGATGGGGTCAAGCTATGTATCCGGTCTTTACTTTGGGAGCGAGATAGCCCTAATGCTGACTTCCATCACCAGCTGTAGTAATCAACACATGCTTAGATAACATCAAAACAGGTGACATGCCCACGGTTCTACATACCGTTCTGCTCTGGCACTCCCCCAGGAATCCAATGAGGATATACTTGCGCAAGAGTACAGTCAGACACAAGAGCAAAGCCGTGGGAGAACAACATCAAAGTCTGAAACAGCTGGCGGCTCTAAAACCCTGGAGGTAGGATGCATGTGTTGAACCGTATTTATGCAGGTTTGGTGAGGAGAGTTACTCTCAGGTTAGTGTTCATACATGAGATGAGATTTTATAGGTCATCCATGAGATGGGGTATGTTAGGCAGGCCTTAGCACAATTTGAGGTTAGTTGAATGTTCCGGCTATATGCTATTTTTTGGACATATGCTATTAATAACAAAACCCTTTACATATGTTGTGTTTGTAATATGTGAGGTTCTTTCCATAGCTGGGCTACATTGATGTCCATTCTATATCTATGTCATGATGTTGCCTTGATGACTGCATGTTAATTTAGCAATGCCGGTGGCCACTAAACCGGTATACTACCTTACCGGTATACCTTACTGGTATACATGCATTGCCTTGCTTGTATTTTCAAGGTACGTCCCTTACTGGTCCCTTACTGTCCATCAATATGGGGGTATAATTTCTGAGCTCCCTTGCAGGATTCTATTATCCTGCACTCTTGCACAAGTCATTCCTGGAATTACAACGATACAATGCTGTGCCTTAACAGTTGTGCCTGAATCTGTGATGTGGATATATGTTTATACATTTGCAGTCAGGCACATCTGAAACCAAAGGCACTACTAAGAACAACGCCAGAAGTACAAGCATCATGACCGGGACTGACAAATCTAGTAGTAAGTCCGTCACCACCTCATCTGAAACCACTCAGACAGAGACACGGTCTCAGTCCCAAGAGATTGGTGTTGATGCAACGGTAAGTTGCATTGTTACATGTACATATGCACCAATTCATTGGGGCTTTAAGAAATCCAACTAGATGGTGAAGCCTTGCCCAATCCTATTATGTATTATTGCAGCCTCGAGGAGCCTCTTAGATTCCATTAGTTATTGTGCACCCTGAAGCAAATATGTATGGGTACATAGCCAGGTAATTATGTAAGTTACTTAAAAGGAGAAGGGAAGCAGGTGAATGCATGCCTAGCTAAATTTTTACTTTTTTAATAAAAATGCTGTTTGCAATAGTATTATTTATGCATTCATTGGAAGTACCCACAAGGGCACAGTACTGATTACACAGATATATCTGTTCAAGGGAGCGTTTCAGTCATAGCCCTAGTCATGAGGCCTCATGATCACTCATTAGGCCTCAGGAGGCCTGATAACCGGTCGTGATGCCGGCCATATGGCAGAGTCGTGGTCATGACGGTTGTCATGCCCCTTACATGACTTGGCCAATTGTTACATAAGTGGATGTGAATCCCGTGATATGCCCGATCATGAAATGCCAGTCATGGGTGTAAATTAAGTCGTGCGGCCCATGGTCATATACTGACAATGTTTTATGTTTTGCTCCACTTCGAACAGTGACATTCACTGTGCCGTATATACAGATTCCTGAATCCCTGCATGCATGCATGCTGCTGGCTTGCTGGCAAGCTTCTTGAGAGCCCATTTGTGTTCCTTACTGCTGGCTGGCAATGTAGGTTGGAACCAGATTTAAAGTGTTTGGATCAGAGTTAGATTTTTCCGTCACTGCTCGTGAATCAACAGTTTTTGGGAAGGAGAGCTCAACTGCCATCACCACGGGCAAGGACTACCAGTCATCATCAACGACGTCAGATACAAGGCAGAACACAAGGGTACAAATGAATACATGAAATATAAGGTTTAATTATCATTTGTGCATTAGATTATGATGAAACCTGCTTGCCATGTACTTCCATTACAACCCACTCACTTAAGTAGCGTCCTTCAGATTATTACCTGTAATAGCATTAATACGCCCGTTTCCAAAATAGTAAAACCTTAGCACCTTTCTGCAGGGCACAGAATATTCAATTGGCACCACGAGTGAAAACTCTCGGACTTGGTCTACCAGCCAGACAAGTAGCCGGGAGAGGACCACTGCTGCAGAGGTATCAAGCCAGCAGACAAACTCAAACACACTCACCCAGGGCTCTAGCCAGGCACGTGGCCTGACCATTGGTGAAGACAAGACCTTCTCTACAGAGCAAACCAGTGAAAGGGGCGGATGGCAGGAAGTGAGTCGCCAAAACACCTACGGTGTTGATGTTAGCCAAGGTGAGGCATCTGGGAGATCCCGGGATCCCAGGATCCTGGGATTGAGACATGTCATGGTCGAAAATCCTTCAGCTGAAGGATTTTGCAGATCTGCAGATGGTGGAGGGTAAAGTGCCCCTAGTTGATGGACGGTGGTGACCTCGGATAAAGTGATAAGCTGACCAGGAATATTCCTATTAATGGAGTTGAGCCACTGTCGATTGGTGGTGGGTGGTCGGCCCAGGTGCGGAACCTTAGCAATCCACTGAGAAGTTGAATAGGGTGACTGGATGAGGGTGCCTCGAAATACCGGGTAGGCAGGGTTTCGTAGGGTAGCTGGCACGGGTGAAGATATACCCCCCTGTTCCACACATCATACATTATGATGATGGGTAACCGTGTTCCAGTTGTGTTAGGTCATGCTTAATAACCTGTGTTTGACATGCATAACCATATATACTACTAGTATGCCTAGTAGGTAGGCTTGCTCTTATAATGCATGGATCTCAGGTGTAGGGTGGGTTTTGTTTATGATGGAGACACTAGCTAGTCACTGGATGATGAAATTGTCCACCAGTAAATGTGTGGTATCTAACCTTGTCAATGATGCTACAGCGCCACCATATCATACGCTATAATGAGGTTTTAGTGTGTAGTACGTACGTTTTATGGCAGGCTGCCCGTTCCTCATCTTCTACTATGTTTTGTTGTATGCATGTGCTCAGGCTCCACCAAAGACCAAAGCCGCAGCAGGAGCCTTATTTCAACCAGTGAGAGAAGTGACAGCTCGGAGCTTAGCAAGCAGCTGACAGAGAGCGTCAATGAGGGAGTAACCAACTCAGCATCTGCCTTCTACCAGGTGAGAAACAGAGAGCATGTGTATGATTGTAAACATGCATCTTTTAGGATCATTATAGCATAATCCAAACAATAAATGTCGATCAGCTTGATATTGCAGATATTAATTATGATACTTATTAAATGTCTTTCATTGAGTTAAACTGCGCAGCTTAGGCTAATAAGCATCCTTCTGATGGGAAATATGGTTCACGCAATGTGGTTCCATCGATCGATACCAAACAGTGGAACATGAAAGATTGGATTGTAGGGGTGTATGTAACCTATCCATACAGAAGATAGTGAGCTACAGATCTGCTTTAGTGTATATGAAGTTCTGTATAAGTCTGTATCATATATATCAGGGTGTTGTATAGCTGCACACCGAATGGTATTGTATTCTGTTAGCGTTTCTAATGCAGGTACTCGTACTGGACCTCGCAGGTCTATTGGTAGAAAACTTACATCTATAGCATTTCTTTAGTTGCAATTAAAGAAATGCTATAGATGTAATTACATCTATAGTTGCGCCATGCATAATGTTTGACTTATTTCATTAAGCAGCTCTCGAATAGCCCGCTGATATAAATCTATTCCTGTCCTGGCAGGTTATGACTGAGCGTACCAAGGCAATTACTGAAGATGTTACCAAGGGAAAAGAGAGTACACGTGGTACCGAGTTCAGCTACACACTTGATACAGTATGTTATTTCAGGGCGTGGTGCTGTATGTCTCGGAAATATCCTAGCTCATAAAGTCCTGTATGTACCACGCTATCTCAACTGTGTGATTGTATGAATCGTGGATCACAGCTTGACCCACCATCGGTAATATGTTTTAGCATTTGTAGACAGGGTCATAATATAATAGATCTAGATGGGACCAAGAAATATGTCATATGTAGATTCACTGTATAGAATGGTCTATATATATTTCCTTTCTTGAAGACACTGTTATGGATGCTTGCAGACATACAGTTCACAAGTGACATTCAGCCCCGACAAGCTGGCTGTATCACTATATATGAGTGTGGAGGAATATAAGGATGCTCGCTACACAGCTTTGGTAGAACTTGAGACCAATGTGCGTAAATAATGCTAATCATGGGGCTGGCGGTCTTTATCCAAATTGGCCTGGGAAGTGTCAACAGCCATCCCAATTTACTAACCTGCAGGTTATATAAGTACCAGCTGTTGCTTGTATAGCTAATCGATCCGTAGTATTACGGAATTGATAATTTTTTATCAATCACTAACCAGTCTTAAAGGTACAGTTCATAAATGTGCATTTACCTTAGGTGTATGAAGCTTACACAAGGCCCGAAGATCGACGGTGTATAGACAATCAAATTTTACAGACGAACCTCTAAATAGCACCCACTGAGTACATCAGTTGTCAAGTAATGTCCAACAACGTCCAGATAAGCTTCAGTACTACATCTAGATTTCCTTTGTTCCCAATCCACTTCTCCTTATGCTACTATTTTGAGTCATTATTGCTGCACAAATACTAATGCGTCTATGACACCCAACATATGTATGTGCCAAATTTGGCTTCTATATTACATCACAGGGCTGGGGTGGCAAACTGGTGCTTCCAGTATCTGGTGTCATGAACGGAATATTCTCTACAGCTACAATGACGGTGGATCAAAATGTAGATATTGACTGTGGTGGGCCAAAGCCTTGGGAGATCCTGGCTGCCGGTATGCACTCTGTGTGTATGTGTGTGTAGTATACTACACAGTATGTCCCATGCGTATCCCACTCACCTAACTGAAGTACATCATCCACTACAGGTTTCTGCTTCATTAAATCATAAAACTTCACACATATCCCTGCATCTTTATAAGCCTTGCTTAGATCAGGCACTACTGGTAAGGCACAGATTATTGCCCTGGGAGATCCCAGGATCGAGACTTGTCAGGGTCAAAACCCTTCCAGGGTAGAGCGCCCCTAGTTGGTGGACTGTTTGATGGACTGCGAGCTGACTAGGAATGGAGTTGGGCCGCCGTCGATCCGGCAGATTCCATTGAATGCTGGTTGTGGGTGTGGATTCTGAGCGATCCACTGAGAAGTTGACTAGGGTGACTAGATGAGGGTGCCCCGAAATACCGGGGAAGGCAGGGTTTCGCCAGGTAGCGGCCACGGGTGAAGATGTGCCCCCTTGTCCCACACATCATATAATTATGTGGGACGGGGAATATGCTGTAATTATAAGCCACACATTCTTTGACTTGTCTGATTGCATTACCTTGTGTGCTATATGCCCAATGGCATACTCCAGGCCGGTTCCGGCCCGGTTCCGACCTAACGGGTCCAGTTAACGAGATGGGTAACCGGTCACAAGGTTCATGCCCACGTGTCACACCCCGACAAGCTTAGGAGGTTAAGGCAATGTGAATGCCGGGTGACAGGGGTGACAGTCTTGTGCAGGCACATTTGGAGACTAGTTTACACTGAGATTGGGGTGATGTTGGATTAGAATACTTGCAGTTCATGAAATTGAGGAAATGTGTTGCATAGGCATATCCAAACGTTTCAGAGGGACGTTGTTTCGCCCGTAACAAACTTGTTACGGGCGAAACAAACTGGATTTCCACAGTCCCACCACTCAAAGAGCTCCCCACACCATCGCAAAGTCCCTTTTTTATTACAGACACATGTAACGAGTTGTCATAGCTTGAGATTGTCGATGGGGATCCTCTAGAGT